GAAGCAGAGGGAGGAGAACCAGTCAGAGGTGGTATTTCCCGTTTCTCTAAACTACTCAAAATTTCTGCTACTGGTTCTCCAGAACTGGTCAGAACCTGCTGTAGACTTTGATGCTGAAAAAATTGAAGGTAACTGAAAACGAACACAACTGAAGATAAGTAGATACTATTACTGATAACACAAGTATGAACTTACAAGAACTCAAGGAAGCAGTTACTGACAGACAATCCTAGTGTCAAGTCTGAAGCTGACCTGGCTGAAGCCAACTTTTCCTGCCTCATAGTTGCCACAAATTTTGAAATGGGGAAAGGATGGGGGAAGTAGATAGAAACGCCAAACAAAAAGTTTTCTTGTGGAAATCAAGGTTATCTCAACAGGTAGCTACTGAAGGAGGAGAGGAATGACCAAGCAGCCTGCCAGCTATATTCATTGGACAATGTGAACAGTGACATCTGGTAAGAGGAACTTTTGCTCTTTTAATTAGTTGAAAACCGTGGGAACTTTTAGAGTTGGTTTTCACTAGCTGTGCCAATATGATGTTTCCAATAAACATGTTCTTTGAGGAATCTACCTGCCTCAGAGTTTTGCTTTTAGTGGATTACTTGGAACCCTGAACATCCAGCTTAATGATGTCTACCTGATCATGAAGAGTAGGAAGTGACTGAAAGATTGAACAATAACAGGAAGATTGCCTTTCAAGGAGGAAACATGCTAACCAACAGATACCAGAAGATAAAGAAAGCTTAGAATAATTCTATAATCTATATTCAGAACACAGAACAGAATCACATTGGTCACTACTGATCCATAGTCAGTTGGCTGGATCTTAAGAGATGAGTCAGGAATTCTGAGTTTGAATTTGGCTAGAAACTTTCTGAAGCACTGTTGGAGATGCTCCTATCCTTTAACCACAGCTCTGATGCTTGTTAAGTGGAAGGAGGCAAAAGAGAGCAATAATAGTAATCTCTATAGACAATTTGTTGTAAGCATTTATAAGATAATACAAAGCACTCCAAACATTGAAATCCACTTTCTTTAATCTGAATACCATCATTCCAAGTCAGCATGAGTTCAGAATTATGGGACCCAAGTTAGTTGAAGTCTAACAGATCTGGAGTGCACCAGATCTGGGCATTAAGTTAGATACATCTAGTAGAGAATGTGTGGCATGTAAGAATTATTGCAGGAGTAAGCGCACAAAAATCTAGTGGATAAACATCTTACAGATATGGCCCAGTAGAGAATAATTAATGGCATGGAAGCCAAGAGGCATACTCAACTGTGTGCTAAAACTTAAATGAAAACTTCTCACAAAGAGCTTGCATATTGCAAAGTGGTTTATTGATAAAACCCTTAATGGACTTCCTGTAGAGCTCCAATATTTCATCGCTGCGCAGAAAATAGTTTCAACAGCTGAGCTTTTATCATTTCCACACACCAAGAACTGCCTGCTAAAATGCCCTTTCCAGTTTTCCTTTCTCTTCTGGTCTTTTTGATATTTTTGGAATGAACTGCAACTGACAAAATGGCTTGGGGTCATGAAAAAAAAAAGTTGTTGGAAGAAATGTCCATCTGGGTTCAATTCCAAGTGGGGAGAAAGACACTGGAAACAATGGTGACTGTTTGGAAAGATGGTTTTAATGGTGGACAGGATCACAATGTTTGAGGTCCAGGGCAAAAAAGAGAAGAGATGTTGAGAATGTCTGGGTTTTATGCCCTCTCTGGGCTTTTGAATTTGAGCTTGTATTCTGATTGGTTATCAGACTCCCATGAGGCCATGCAGGGGTAACTTTCTGGTTGTATTTGTGAGTCCCAAGCTTGGTTGAGCCTTGCTGACTTGGAATG